ATTGTTGCTAATACACGAGGCTACTGCAAGGCTGAATCTGTTCTTAGGGTCTGGAGCACTAGTGAATCACTCATTAGGAGCTCATTTAGACTGCCCTGTCGCCATAACCAACGTACCCCTGGCTGGGACCATCGGTGGGGGGAATGGTAGGCACAGGAAGGGTCTGCCTTCCCAAGCCCTGACGTGTCCCCGCTCATGCTCCAACTCCAGGCCCCCTGCTTGTTCCCATGCCGGAGGCTAGGACGGACAGGCTACACCATGCTGCTCCAACCACACTGCCTGCCCAGTGCAGAGATTGGTGGCTCAATGGGCTGTTGGGGGGGGGACCTTCAAGGATGGGGGAGCATCTTCATGGGGGGGTCAGTCAGCTGGGTAATGTGGGCTCTAGAGGGGAGGCTGAGGCCGTGCTGTCTGGCTCTCTGGTGCTCCAGGACTGGGTGGGGAGGCTGGGACGGTGCCACACAGCAGCCCGGGGCCGGGAGTTGCTGGGGGTGCTAGCCTGGGGCAGGGGCCAGCAGCTGCAGCGGGGGCTGCGTTCCAGGACATGCGGAAAAGGCAGGGCATTAGGCAGAAGAGCTGCGGGGTGAGGGGCTACCAAGCCAGTTCACCCACCGCTCCGGCCCGAGGGCTTTGCTGCTAGGGGTGTGCTTGCGATCGGCTCGCACCTGCCCGCGTCCTTTGGAGAGGGCTGTGTCAGGGAGCTGCTGCATCGGCCTTCCCAGCGCGGTCACCTAGGGCAGCCCTACGCCTCAAACCCCGCGTGGGTGCCACTGGAACGCTCCCGCGACAATGCTCCTGCGCTGAGGGGCGGAGCTCCCCCGTCAGTATAGTTAACTCCCCTCCCCGGGAGGCGGTAACGATGCCAGAGGGAGAAGCTGTCCCGTGGACACAGCGCTGTCTACGCAGGGGATTAGGTCCACGTAGCTAAGCTGCTCAGGGGTGTGGAAACATCCACACCTCCGACCGGGGGGCTGGAATGGAGGGCTCGTAAGAGTGAGTGATGGTGTTGGGCTGGAGAGGTGTCAGTTGGGGATGGGGCCTCAGGGGAAGCGGAAGTGTGGGGGCAGGGCCTGGGGGGGACGGGTGGCAGAGGGGGAAGGGCCACAGTTGGGTCACTAGTGCCCCACCCCTCACTTTCATGGCGTTTCTGCTACTCCTGGCCTGACCCCAACGGACATAGTTATACCAAAATACGTCTGTAGTGCAGGCCAGATCCTGTTTCCTAGACACTCAATCACTTTTCCTTCAGGACTTCAGGGAATGTCACAGTCTGGCTGCAACACTCAGGGGCAAATGTGAGTAAGGTTCGTGCCCACTGTCCCATACATAACGAAGATATGGTCTCACTGGGTCACAGTCCTCTCACTGTTAACTTAGGCTCCTCCTGTCAATTGCATCCATCTTGTGTGTCTCATGGTACCGCAGGGTCTTTGAGGCAGGGTCCCTTTCCATTATGAACCGTGTTCAGCACACTGTGACCCGTAGCTTTATGGGGCGTCTAGGCACTATTGCAATATTAATACTATATTGTACTTTCAAGGAGGGTGGGATGGAGGAAGATTGTCCCTTCCTAGTGCAATGCAAAATCCGACTGCCCCTACTTTCTAAGCTATTACTGAAGAGAAAGAAAATGGCGGATTAGTGCAAGCAACTTTCCTATGGAAATCTTGTGAGGTCAACAGCCATGCATAAGGGAACAGAGCAAAGCCGGCATATCTAGGGACGTGATGATTCCCCTTTATTTGGCACATCTGGAATATTGCATCCAGTTCTCGGGCCCCCATTACAGAAAGGATGTGGACGCATTGAAGAAAGTCCAGCGGAAGGCACCAAAAATGATTAGGGAGCTGGAGTACATAACATCCGAAGAGGCTGAGGGATTTGGGGTTATTTAAAGAGTGAGGGGGGATTTGATAGCAGCCTTCAACTTCCTGAAGGGAGGTTCCAAAGAGGATGGAGAGAGGCTGTTCAGATGGCAGAATGAGGAGCGATGGTCTCAAGTTGCAGTGGGGGAGGTCTATGTTGGCTATTAAGAAAAAGCATTTCCCTAGGAGGGTGGTGAAGCCCTGGGATGGGTTCCCTAGGGAGGGGGTGGAATCTCCATCCCTAGAAGTTTTAAAGTCCTGGCTTGACAGAGCCCTGGCTGGGATAATTGAGTTGGGGTTGGTCCTGCTTGTAGTAGGGGGGTTGAACTCAATAACTCTTTAGGACTCTTCCAGCCCTAGGATTCTATGAAGGCCAGCAGTGTAGGCCAAGTCACAATAAATAAAGAGACTGTTGCTCTGAATGAAGGCTGTGTCAAGGTTCAGTTATCAGTCTGGGCCAGTCCTCAGCCTCAGCTCCTGGGCTGGGCTTTTATACTCCCTGTCCCACCCCTTGGCCACTGTGAAGTTAAAGGGGCAGGACGTGACTCAGTCCACCAGGGCTCAGAGAGGGGTTCTTCATCCTTGGGGTCAGTGAGTGGCCACCCCTGCTCCCTACAGGCAGTTTGTATTCGTACCTAAACAAGTATTGCCCAATGACCCAGTAAAAGGACCCAGAATCTCATAAGAACATAAGAACAGCCGTACTGGGTCAGACCAAAGGTCCATCTAGCCCAGTATCCTGTCTGCCAACAGTGGCCAGCACCAGGTACCCCAGAGAGGGTGGACCGAAGACAATGATCAAGTGATTTGTCTCCTGCCATCTCTCTCCAGCCTCTGACAAACAGAGGCCAAGGACACCATTTTATCCCCTGGCTAATAGCCTTTTATGGACCTAGCCTCCATGAAATTATCTAGCTTCTCTTTAAACTCTATTATAGTCCTAGCCTTCACAGCCTCCTCTGGCAAGGAGTTCCACAGGTTGACTACATGCTGTGTGAAGAAGAACTTTCTTTTATTAGTTTTACATCTGCTACCCATTAATTTCATCTGGTGTCCTCTAGACCTCATAGACATCTCCTTAGCACCACCTCGCTCTGCACCTAGGATACTGGGGAGATCAAGGGGGTGAGGGGATGGATATATATATATATATATATTATTTTTTATGGAACCGGCTTTTGTTGGTCAGAGACAAGGTTTCGAGTTACATGGTGCTTTTCTTTGCATTTGGGAAAGGCAATCTGTGTGTGTCAGTTAAATACAAGGTCGAACAGATTGTTTAGCCTAACGACTTGATGCATTGTAAGAAACGGTTTGAAGAGAAGTGGGCAGTTAACATAGGACAAAACAAGGGGATTTTAACAGACTGTTAAAATAAGCCATAAATTCAGTGTCTATTAAGCCCCATGATATCTAGTGTCTAGCACAGTTACCAATTAAGCTCCTAGGCTCATCTTTTGAAGGTTTGTGAAGGTTTGCTTTGAGCATGTGGACTGAGGGGTTAGATGATGAAAGGCCTCAGTTGTCCACCTATGTAATGGGATAATAGCAAATCACTGGAGTGGCTTACGACTGTGACTGCCAATCTTAGGGCAGACTGTTACAAACCAGGGCACAGCCCCCAAAGTGGATGTGGGTTCCGTACTTAGTCTTCACCAATTAAGTATCAAACATGAACCTTTGAAGCTCTCTAACAGCCTTAACAAGGAGTCCTAGACAGTCATGTAATATTGCTGTGTGACATGAACTGGCTAGCACCACTCCAGAGGTGGCTGCATTTTGTGGGGTGGTGATGTAATAAATCTTTATGTCCATGTATTTATAAATGATCTGCCTGTTCTAGAAGGATGGATTATCGGTGGAATCCGTTCTGTTACGTGTAGCAAGCTGACAGTGCAATATTCATATCTCTGCTACAAGGCTGTCTTTTAGCCTCTCAAATTATAATTGCTTCTATGGTCATGCTTTATTATTATATATTTGATGTTTCTCCCCCAGAGCAGATCTGGCTCCCCAGGGATAGCCCCTAGCAGGCTGTCACAGCTATATTTATCTGCGCCTCCTCTGGTCTGGGCGATAGCAGCTCCCATTGGTCGGGGATTGCTGTTCGTGGCCAATGGGAGTTGAAGGAAGTGGTGTTCCAGTTCTCACTGCTTCCTGCCATTCCCATTGGCTAGGAACGGCGATCCACAGCCAATGGGAGCTGCAATCACCCGTACCTCCAGCCATGCAGGTAAATATAACAGCAGTGACCTACCAGGGACTAGCCCTGGCTAATCACCACCGTTTTATTACCCACCCCTGATCTAGGGCCAGGAACTGCTTTCCTGATTGCTCTGCTCATTACCAGCTCCCATTGCAAACCCCCAGCGCGCACACGCACAGGACACTTGCACATCACGCTGGCTAGCAAAGGACTGGCAGGCTCCATTCTTAATATCCTGGAAGAAATTTTAAAACAGCAGTTAAAAATGACACACATTCTCTCCCGATCGTATGGACTCTATCAGGAAATTATGAACTTCCTTTATACATATTTATGGTTTTTTTAAAAAAAATAAGGCTACCACCGGATGCTTCTGGCTCCAGTTCTTCTGCTCTGCCGAGGAGAAAGCCCTGTGAATTCCCAAGCTCTTGACAAAATGTCAAATAAAACACACTGACCGACTGTTCACTCGGGTAATAAGCAGTCAAACACTCTGCACTGAAAAGTGTGGAACAATGGTTCCTCCTGAGTCTATCAGGAGTCTTCAGTGTTCTGGTTCTGATTTAAGTTGCTGCATCATCTCTAAGCAACAGGAGGGTCGCTGTAGCTTGCAGGACATGATGGGCGATGTGTAATTCTGCAACCCCACCTGGTGGGCAGGCACTTGAGGCTTGTTTCTGTGACTTATCAGAGCCCCTCAATTCTGAGAGCTGCTTGCTTGCTTCCCTCTCTTCCTTGCTAGTTTCCACGTTCCCCGTCTCTATCCTGAAGACCCCTCCGAACTGGGGGAGCTGCCTTCCACGTCAAACGACAGGATGACCTCCATGCTGGTGGCATGCGGACAGAACTTCGCAGCTAACTTGAGCTCCGTCCCAGCAAACCCGGTGTACACCTCTCCCTCCCAGATCTTGCTGGGCGTTGGCTGCAGCTCAGTCCTGGCTTGCCCGACCACAAAAGCTCTGTAGGCTTTTGGCATCTTGACTCTGAACCTGATCCAGCTGCGTTCCTGGAGCACGCCCGTCCTGGGCTGCAGCAGGATGCAGCCTCTCCTCCATGTGCTGTACACGCGGGGGAACGGAAGCCACCGGGGCTCGGAAAAGCAGCGGACGACGTAGTCGCAGACGTGAGCGAAGTCCTTGTGGTCCTCGCTCCTGTTGAAGAGCCCCACTTTGTCTGAAGAGCCCCACTTTGTAGAGGCCCGATTCGGGAAGCAGGATGCAGACGCTGACCTTGTTTGCCAGATGGGTGAGCAGGACGTATCTCTCCAGGGGGTACTTGGTATGGGTGACTTTGTCCTTGCTCAGGACAGCGGCCACTTCGGTGTCCGACCGGGTGTGGAACGTGATGTTGCACTTCCCCTGGTTGGTGTGGATGATGGGGGCCGGGTGGCTGGGGTTGGAAAAGCCCCTCCAGCGGGTGCTGATGCCTGTCCCACAGTGCATGCTGAGGCCGGAGGGGAAGAGCTCGTTCTGGTTGGTGGGACCAGAGCAATGAATGAGGAAGTTGGCTGCGTTTTTCAACAGGTCGCCCCCTAATTCTTTCACAAACACCGAGAGCCGGTAGTAGCCCAGGAAAGGACACAGCACGTGACAACTCAACTTCTCCTCCTCCGCTTGAGAGGCCAGGCACTTGGTGCTCAGGGAGGCGTCCAAATCTTTATTCACCAGCTGGTATGTGGCCAGCAAGGGTCTGGATGTCCATAGAGTCAAGAGCCAACTTCCTGTTGCAACAACAATCGGATCTTCTCCGCAGTTGCATGCTGCGATCCCCATTTCCTTCCGCTTTGGATGGAGGCCCCAGAAATGGAAGGGGTTTTCGGGCAGATCTTTCTTGCTCGACTCCAGGCACTTGATCTGATAGGAACACACCCAGCTGTAGGGGTTCTGAGCATCCGACGGGCGTGCGAAGACCATCAGCTCAAAAAAGCCCTCCGTCGGGGGAAGAACTTGGAGAGTCATGCGCTTCTCGGACACCATCAGCATCCCGCAGGCCATGCCTAGTTCTTCTTTGCTACCGTCGCTGCAGAGCTTGTAGAGGCGGTAGCTATATTCTGTGGGGCGTGGGCTCCCCAGAGACACCGTTGCTTCCCCGTGCTCTGCAGGAGGGAAGGCAAAGCACAGTGCAGTGTGAGCCTCAGTAAACTTAATTCTCAGCCAACGGCCTCTCCCTTTGGGGAGATCAGCAAAACGCAGATTTGCACCCCTCCTAGGAAGCAATCTGGATTTACACCATTGTACCGAGAGTCAGGAAATCTGGGTTCTACTCCCAGCCCTTACTGATCAGCTGAGTGGCCATAGTTGATTGAGTTCCCTGAGTGCCCTATGTTGCCATATCAGTGAGATGGGAGTGACGATACCCACTTTCCCTTGGATAGCTACAGACAGGGAGTGCTCTAAGCATCAGTGTCCATTGTGAATGGGAGTTGTTCCCTGAACTTGTTAGAGGCGAACCCAGTGTCTCATCCAGAGCAGGGTTTTTACCGTAGCTATCCGCCAGATATGGGAACGGGAGACGCAGAGCTGATGTGTTGCCATTGCAGCTGCTGGGAAGCTCAGAGGAATCTAGCATATTTTTGGGGAAATCCCACCACAGTCAGCCAGACGGCAGTCAGGCAAGTTTTCCCCCTTTGGATGGGGGGGGGGAGGGGAGGATCACCTTAAATGGCAAAACTCTGCACCGTTGTCTGGGGGCTGCTCTAAACCAACGGGAGGGGAAATGCAGGAGTTCCACAGAGCGCTGTGCCATGGCCCGTACCTCATAAATGACCTGGGTAATGTTTGTGCCAATTACACAGCTGAGCTACACCACACAGAGGAGGTGGGCAAACCTCGTAGATTGCATGAAGCAATTAACCCCCCACTTTTCCTTTTTTGAGCCTTTCTTGTTTGGCTTTTTAACTCTCCTTGCATGCAGGTGCAGGACATATATTGCATTTGAAGGCAGAATATCTTTTAAGAGAAAACGTTATGACAAGAGGGAAAGATCTTGAGGAGGGTGGACAGCCCCTAGTGCTGGTCCATGGGTGATGGTCCATGCTGGTGCATGGAGACACTAGGGGCAATAAAAAACACATATTTATAGCTATCCCAGCAGCTGGAATATCTGCCATATCCTTGAAACCTCTTGGATTCTTTAGCCCTGTTCAAGGAAGCCGCTAAGTTGTGTGTGGATGTTCTGATTGGTTGGGGGATGGGGTGCAGATCTATCCCCAGACGCTGGCATTTTTAATTGTTGGGTAGATTTACGTATGCCCCAGCCAGCCTCAGTTTCCTGCTCCTGGAGACACAGAGACTGCTTGCTGCGCGAGGCCAATAAGAACACCTTGCCCATTGCATGATGGAATCCTCTCTGGTGGAGTGCCATGTTGAAGGCGGTTTCAAGTGCGTTATGGAGCATGTTCTTTCGTACGTGAGGACCGGGCTGTAGAGAATAGATTTGTTCAATGTGCTTGGAGTAGTTGATGAATAGACAAAGGAGATGGCATCACGCAATGGACCATCCAAATACCCAGAGTGAAACTACTTTAATGCAGGAGGAAAAGCCCAACCTCCTGACTGTACATTCCTAGCTGCTACCTGCAACCTCACGCTGGGACACAAACAAGGGTGTATGATGAAAAAAGTGCAAACCATCCTCCATGAGGATCACACCTTGAAAAAAATCTCCCTCAGTTCCCCTCAAACACCCACCCGGCCTCACCAAGCACATCATCAGAATTAAGTACCCCACAGACCTGGATCCACCCGCTCAAAATGGCCCTTGATCCTGCCAGGGCAAGAGATGCAAAACCTGCTGCCACGGTAACCCCCTCCCCTGATGACACATCTTTCAAGACCTCTGCTTCCCACACGTGCCTACCACCACATGCTGTGTCCAGTGCTGTAAAGGCCCCAATAAGAATTATGTGGGTGACACCAGTCAGTCTCTATGCGTGCCAATGAACGCATGTAGGAAAGGATAAACGAGAGAAAAGACCTTGTCACCTGTGAGCAGACACTCGTCACAAAGCAGTCGTTCCGCATCAGACCTCTCAGTCCTCGTTCTCAAAGGAAACCCGGACAACCCTTCCAAAGGGCAAGCTGGGGAGCTTAAATACATAATTTTGCTAAGTACTAAAAATCATGGACTTAATAAGGACTTTATAGCTTATTTACAACAATCTGTAACCCACTATCCTCCCTTTTTTCCTTTGAGTACAAGGCTGTTAATGGGCCTTGTTTGAATAGTCCCTTCCCTTAGAATAGGTGCTAACTCAGGGGTGGGCGATAATTTTGTGTGTGGGGGGGGCACTCCAAGATTTTGGAAAGTGGTCGAGGGCCGCACTTTTCTGTGGATGGATGGAGGTTGGGTGCAGAAGGACGCATGGGGTAAGGCACTAGGGTGAAGAGGTGGTGTGAGGTCTAAGAGGGCGTTTGGGTGAAGGAGGGGGTGTGACCTGGGGCAGCAGATGGGGTGCAGGGTCTGGGAGGGTGTTTGGGTGCCAGAGAGGATTCTGGCCTGGGAGAGGGGTGCAGGAGGGGGTACAGTGTTTGGGAGGGAGTTGTGACCTGGGGCAGAAGGCTGCAGAGGGTTTGGATGGTGACCTGGGGGAGAGAGTTGGGGTGCAAGAGGGGCACAGATGCCAGAGGCAGGGTCTAGCTGGAGGTGCTTAGCCCTGCAGCACCCCCAAGGCAGTCTGGGCTCCCTGCCTGCTGCAGCCCCAGATCACTTGAAACTGCAGGCTTGTTCCTTCCACATGGCTCTCAGCCCCAGGAAAGGAAAGAGGCTTGTGCCGCCCACACCCCCCAGGCCAATCTCTCAGCTCCTCTTGGCCGGGTGGTTCCAGCCTATAGGAGCTGAGGATTGGGCTGGGGGCTGGGAGATCACATGAAGCCTCCCCCTGCCTGCAGAGCATGGACTGTGCTTTAAATTGTGGCAGCTGCCTGCCTGCAGATCCCAGCAGGGTGGTCCACGGGCCTGATCTGGTGGCTTGGCGGACTGAATCTGGCCCCGGGGCCATATTTTGCCCAGCCCTGTGCTAACTACTTATGCCTAACAATCCGTTCCACCTTGTATTTAGCCATAAGGCCCTGAATACAGATCTCAGACCAGAAGAAGAGCTCTGTGCGAGCTCCAAAGCTAGTCTCTTTTGCCAACAGAAGTTAGGCTATTATAAGATATTGCCTCTCGCCTTGCCTTTCACGTTTTGCAGGACCAACACAGCTACAATATCACTGCTTTCTAACCTGTCATTTCCCAATCTGTATTTGTGCAACTGATTATTCCTTCCTAAGCCATGTGCTCTGTGTTGGGCTTACGAATTCCATCCTGTTTGTCAGATCATTTTGCCAGTTTGTCAAGACAAATTTGAGTTCTAGCTCTATCCTCCAAAACGCGCTTGGACGCCCTCCCAGCTTGGTATCATCCCCAAACTTTGTAAGTGTTCTCTCTATGCCCCGTCCTTATCAGCTATTCAACAGAACCAGACCTAGAACAGATTCCTGTAGGGCCCCACTCCATGCCTTTCCAGCTTGACTGTGAAACTCTGTGAACTACTCTCTGAGCACGGTTTTCCAGCAGGTTGTGCAATCACTTCATAGTAGGTACATTTAGGCAGTATTTTCCTAGTTTGTATATGAGACGGTCATGTTAGACTATATCAAAAGCTTTACTTAAGTTGAATTATAGCACAACTACTGCTTCCCCCCATCCACAAGGCTTGATATGCCGTGAAAGGATATTAGGTTTGTCATGGTTTGCTCTTGCCAATTTCACGTCAACTGTTACTTCTTATTCTATCTTCTAGGTGCTTACAAATGGATTATTTGCGCCACTCACTTTCTGGGTGCCAAGTTAAGCAGCCTGGTCTATTATCCCTGGATTGTCCTTATTCCTCTTTCTATAACTTAAAGCGACAAGGAGTCCTGTGGCACCTTATAGACTAACTGATACATCTGTTAGTCTATAAGGTGCCACAGGACTCCTTGTCGCTTTTGCAGATCCAGACTAACACGGCTACCCTTCTGATACTTTCTATATCTTGGCATGATATTTGCTCGTTTACAGTCCTCTGGGATCTCTTCCATCCTCCATACATTCTCAAAGGTAATAACTCAGAGCTCTCTTCAGCCCATTCCTTAAGTATTCCAAGGTGTCTTCAAGTCAGCAGGGTCTGACAAAATACATCTACTTTGCCTAAATAATTTTAACATGTTCTTTCCCTGATTCAGCCTCAGCACTTACCCCCTTGATGTTGATGTAGGTTGTCTGAGCGCTAATCATTATGGTGAAAACTAAAACAATAAAGGCAATTAACACTTTGGACATTGCTTTGGGATAAGATCATCCATTTTCCTGATTTGGAAGTGTCGGGTGAGGAGGATTGGATGTCTGTGATGCTTAGAAGTTTGAGGGCTCCCTAACTTAATTCAAGCTGCAATCACTGATAGAGTTCTTCTGCTCTGTTGTATGTGATATTTGAATTTGCAGATGTAATTCACTCCTCTGAGTCCTTCCAGCAACTGGCAAATCACCTCACCCTATTAGCAGTTATTTATCCCAGTGCAGCGTGGGTGTTAAACCCTGACGTCCTAGTTTAATTGCGTCTGGCATCTCGTTCTGCCCAGGTGTAAACGATGAGACGAGATGAAAGGCTGTGGCTGTGTAGAGAGTCACAGCCATAAAACCGCTTTGACTTCTGAAGGATGCCAAAGTGCTTGGCAGCCCGTGACCTCGATTCAACAAGGTGCGGAAACACCTGCTTCTGTTCCATTGGCCTCCAAGGGATTGGAACATGGGAATGAAGTTAAGCAGATGCTCCTATCTTTTGCTGAACGGGCTTCCGTGTATGCATGGATGATTCAACCCGCTGTTTAAATGCAGCTGCTTCAGGGAAGCTGTCCTGCTCTCATCAGCATTTACTACACTTTTTAAGAAATGAGTGAAATTTGAGTAAGAAATTGTTGATGTTCAGAGCATTGTAACAATATCAAAACAGCCTCATGTAGTAGAAGTCTCAGAGGAGTAGCTGTGTTAGTGAGTAACTTTAAAAGCAAGTCGTCCTGTGGCACCTTAAAGACTTTTTTCCTCCACTCAAGCTCATCTGAAGAAGTGGGT